CCCTCTGATTCCATCAAGGAGGCTCTTCAGTCTGGTACAGGAGATGTCTTTGACATCTCCCTGCTTATCCTTTGGAACAAGCAGAGATCAATTCTTAAACTCAGTCTCTAGTGGGAAACAACACCTAAAGGATGTAATAACACCTTTGAAACAACTTTATGATATGTGTGTTTAAGGCAACCTTCAATCTTGAGAAAGATGCTGGTTTTTACTTTGAGTAATGATCAGGCTCTCTTTAAAAACACATTATTTAAGTCTAAAAGGTGAAATGATAGAGAGAAAGTTCACAGAAATAATCATATTACTGCTACCTGAGCGAGCGGACATCCTAAAGAAGCAACACCCATGAGGGAAAAGTGGGAAACAAAACCCTGGAATATTCCCATTTCTCAGACTTCCTTCTCTTAGGAATCTCTTAGGAAAGGACACAGTGGAAAAACAGCTTTCCCCCTTCCATGTATTCTTTCATCTATTCTGAGAATAGGGGATTCTAGACATGAGCACACCATCTTCATTAGTATGTTAATAAATGATCTGAAATGAGTGACGGTCCCTCCAGCTCACAGTTTCATTACACAGGCCTTGGGGTGGGTGGAGGTGGTGGGAGGGGTTGGGGAAGAGGCCATTGCTGATGAAAATAAAGGAGCGTTGCCAAGGTCTGCAGCTAGGCCTCCAGCCATCACTGTACGAGCAGGGAAGTGCTAGAAAGTTGTTTGTGTGAAATGGAGTGTGAACTGCCAACGTGTTATTGAGGTGGAGGAGCAGGGAGCAGAGATTGAGGGGAAGAAGAGCTGGGATGCACGGCCAGAAGGAGGGACCCACTTAGCAAGCATCAGCTCCCCTGCCAGTGGGAGACTGGGGGAGTCTGGCTGTCCTTATTCATAGAATACCAGAGAACGCCGCAGCTCACACCCGTGTGTTTGCTACCGCATCTCCATCAACAGATGGAGGTAATAAAGAAGCTAAAAATGGAAACACAAACTGGTGTGTAGCTTTGTTGTGGCCATTTGTCACAGAACAGTCAAGAATCCCTTGTGGTAAGTGTGCTTGTCAAGGTCACCTGTGACCTATTCGGTATTAAATCCAGCAGATACTTGGCTGGCGGGCTGGCGCAGGTCAGGGAGGCCATTCTCCTGGGGCGTGAGGTTGGCCGCTGCCCACCTGCGATCAGGCTCAAGCAATGGCTTGGCTTCCCCGGGGCTTCTGGAAGCTGTTAGTCCCAGCATTGGTCAATAGCCTATGTAATTAATCAACTTAAAGGGAGTGCTGGTTAGCAATGGTTCTTGACCCTGACGGTGCACTATAATCACCTAGGGAGCTTTAAAAAAAAATAATACCAGTCCTAGATTTCACCCAGGACCAATCCGGGGACCTCAGATATCAGCATTTTTCAAATTCACCCCAGATGATTCTCATGTGTTGCCAGGGTTGAGAACCGCTGAGATAGATCAATAAGGGGCCAAGTTCAGACACACGTGAGATGCCAATCTTGTTCCCTCTCTCACCCGTGACCCTCTGCCTCTTTCTTAGACACTCTGAATTGGGGTGGAGGTAAGGAATTGGCACCGAAATGGCAAGTTCATTAAAAACCAATTTGATGCACTTTTACGATTGCTTCCAATTTTATACAAATAATGCTATCAATGAACCTATCACCTTATGTACAAACTTTTGTACATATCCACATACTATTGTCTTGGGATAAATTTCTACCTTGAGTAAAAAGGTATGAATATGTTCTACATTAGGTAATAGACACTGGCAAATGGTCTTCCAGAACATTTGTGCTAATTGGCATACTCAAGTATGTCTGAATATGCCCTTTTTCCATGAGCTCGATGGCTTGGAGTTTGTCATTTAAAAATTTACTGGTACTGGAGGGAACGGGGGTAGAGGGTAGAGCAGGGAAGGGGCTACAGCTTTGGCATGGGTGGTTTGGTGCACATTTGGGAGAATAAATATGTACCCCCAAAATTATAATGCAAAAATTATTGTCTAACTTTATTGGTGATCATTTCTACTTAACATTATTTTATTTTGCTCTTCTTCAGTGTTCAGTTTTTCATTTGTATATTATTAGTTATTTGCATTTCTTTTCTGAAATGGTTATTCAGACCATTTTCCTATGTGGTGGTCATTATTTTTACTGCCTTTTTAAGACTCATTATGTATTAAGGGTATTTTTTAAAAAGATTTATTTATTTATGCATACAAGAACTGGGGCACAGGCCAGAGGTACAGGGGGGTGAGAGGATTCACCAGAGACAGAGTGAGGAACAGAACAGGCAGATTAACTGAAATGCACTGCTGAGGGGAGCAGCGGGGGAGATAGGAGAGGTCTTCTGCGCCATGTGGGTAGCTCCCTGACTGGGGAATCGAACTCATGCTGAAGAGGCTGCAGATAGCTTCATAGTGCTGTGCTTAACTCCTTGCACCACCAGGGAGGCCCTATTAAGGGTATTAAACTTTTTGTGTTATATACACTTCTAATATTTTGTGGGTGTGTCATTTGCATTTAGCATTATATTGAAAACTTTTCAGACATTTTTTAGATATATAATGTGAACTGTTTATATAGTTCACACATAAGACAGATTTGCCAGTCTTATCCTTTAAGGTATCGCCACTGCTTTCAATTTTAAAAAGTTATTGTTTATCTCAAAGTGTTCTTGCAATTATTTTATAGAGTGATTTCTAACATTAAATACTTTGATTTTGCCTGGAATTTGTTTTGGTAAACAAACAGGCTTAATTCCAAAGCCAAATGCCAACTTCATCACATACTGAGCATGAGGGTTGTTTGTGAATTTTTCTCTTTTGCTCCATTGCTCAAGATGTTGTCTATTCTGCCTTGAACTACTACCACACTGTTCAATTATGGCAAATTTATCATTTGTCTTAAGATAGTGCAAAAAGTACATCATTCTTAATGCTTACTTTCAAGTGCATTTTCTCTATTCCTTATGATTCCTACATGAATATTTATTTTGGAAAAGCCTTGTAAAATTATTACAGACTTAATGCATGTTAAGGTAATATTGTTTGCAAATATTGACAAATAGATCTACAGGGTCAAAGAGCAAGCCCAGAGATGAGAGGCACAGTACTTTATAAACTGTGAGAAATGAGAGTACTATTTAGGACTCAATTTGGGGCAACTGCTTATCCAATTGGAAATCATTAGAGTGCCACCTCAGATTACGTACAAAAATGAATTCCAGGAAAATTGGCAAAGTCTATGAACAGTCACTTTACAGACAAGGAACCCTAGATAGCCAAGCAACATATAAAAAGAATTTGCAGAAATTTGCAAATTAGAAACAATTCAATAGCATTTTCCTTCCATATGATTGGTAAGATTATTTTAAAAATATAACTTCTCTATAGGTGGCACAGAGTGAACCCCAGGACCCCACACTAACTCAAACCACATCAGCACAAAGGAGGCAGGAGAAAGTGGCTGGGGGAGTAAGAATTAGCATAGCTCTGTTCAAGGGCGGCTGGCCAGGGTCTACACCTTGTGAACCCACCCAGAGACACATAGAAAGGGCAGCTATGAGCAGGACTCTGCCGGCTGCTAAAATACTGAAAAACTTCTCATTTGGCTGGTTGCAAGTGCTGGAGACCCTGCACTGCCCAGGTCACTTTAAACCTTCCCCTTAGCCCCATACTGTCCCTTGAAGGTAGGCAGCATCATGGTCCTGAGTTTCCCCCTGCACAGAGCATGGGGACCTCCCTCCAGCCCCAGGGTGTGCTCTAGACAGCTGGGGATATTTCACTGTGTTGTCTGTGTTAAAAGAGGTCCTCTCGGAAGCATGATTGCAAGAATAATAGGTTGTAAACAGCCTAAGGCGGAGATCGCTAGCTGCCCAGCAAACATCCAGCCTCTTTTCCAAACAACAGAACCCATTCACATAACTGCTTATTACAAAGAGCTCAGGTCCCAGTTTTCCTGGCAGCTGGGAGTGGCCCATAATTAAATTCCAGCCCTTGAGAGGTGAGCAGACATTACTGTGGGACTTCTGGGAAATCTTAAGGGGTTGGGCACCCTGTCACCCTGTGCTCTTCTTCCAGGCAGTCGCCTGGATTGAGGATGTGATTGTGGGAATTGAAGCGCCCATCTTCAACCACAAGGAGGTGGGGCACAGCCAAAGTTACTGAGAGTCAGAATGTGGGTACTTGATAATTTTATAGAGCTGCCACAGGGACTCTGGACGTCCTTCAAGTGAGACCAGCCAAGTCAGACCCTATTCAGACTGCTGTTGTCTGGGGTTTCTCAGTCATAGGCAGCCAAGTTTTATCTCAGTGAGCACAAAGCTAAATGCCTATTAACAGGTTAATGGTGAAATCAAACATAACATGTAAAAATCTAAATTGGAAACAACTTGACATATGTGAAGAAATTCTTGGCAAGATGGGGTCATATCTCTACAGGCTTCCCCCATTCTCTGAAAGTAGAATGTCCTTCATTGCTGTGATTTGGTAGGTTATTTTTTGGGGTCTGGGAATACTCAAAAATTTTGCAATATAAACACATGGTAATAGTGTTTCTAGGCTCCCAAAATACCCTACCAAATATACGAACCAAAAATATAACAACCCAATCCCGTCATAGGAATGTGCTACTTTCCAATGACAGGGGAAACTTGGAGGCAGCAACAAGTCCAGTGAAAAAAGCAAGTTTCAGAAGATCCTAACCTTGAATATACACTTCTCCCAAACTACCACAGAGTACGCTGGTGTTTCCAATCCATCAAAATATAAAAGAAATACAAAACATATGCCACCTAAACTGTGATGGTGTTAGTTACTTTTGGGGATTAAAGAAAAATTGGGGAGAGGAGAAAAATTGCTGGGTGGATGGGCAATGGATGCCTTGCCGCGGGCAACACTACCCTGTGTTTTTTTTTAAAAAGAGGTCTGATTCATGTACTACCTGTATAGAATAAATTAATTAGGTTTCCCACTTATCCACCAGCTGACCTTCTTAAACTGTTTACCTGCCCGTTGCTTGCTGCCGGCAGGGCCACATTGGAGGTCGGAGCTGACAACGCTGATCGGGTGGAGCAGCCTCCTTGGTACACAGAGATTAGCACGAGCCACTGCTGAGTGCTTCTGTTGGAGAATTTCAAGTTTCTTCCAGAACCCCTCCATCACACAGGTTGCGTTTTTCACCACACCACTGCGTCTAAAGACATGAAATGAAAGTATTCATCTATAAGGACAAAGAAAGGCAGAGGACCAACAGCAAGTGAGAGATGGCAATAAAAATTGGAAATGTAATAGGGTGGTCCCCAGGAAAGGGGGAGGTTCCAGGTTTCCTGCCCCACCCAAAAGGAGGGTGGAGCTGAGCTGAGAGAGAAGCAGCTGCAGAGGAGACTGAGGAAGGAGGAAGCAGAATGGAGATCCAGAAGGAGACCTGGAGGAGGCACATGGGGCCAAGAGACATGCGAAGAAACTGCGCTTGCCTTTTTGTCGTGGACTGGGTGACACAGACGTGGGCGAGAGACCCGTGGGGAGGTGACAATGGTGGTTTTTGTCTTGATTTTGATTTTTCTCTTTTCCTTCCAGACTCGTCTGGCTCTTTCTGATCCTTTTCTGTGGGTCCCCACTGGAAGATGCTTTAGACTTGTGGCAGGCTTTGGGGCCTTGCTCTGGGCCAATCCTGCTTGGGTGGACTTTTACCCACAAAGGGTGAGTGGGAGAGGAGACTTAGGATTCAGTGGTCTTTTGAGGCATTGAGTTGTAAAGAGAGGAATATAATTGGAGCTCTGATAGGAGGGGGAGATGGGATTAAGACAAGGTTCATTTTTCTTTTCTTTTTAAGATGGAAGAAATAGCAACGTATTCATATGGTAATGGAAAGACCCAGTGGAGAGGGGAGAAACTGCTGGCACTGGGGAAAAAGGAAAGGACGGCTGGAGTTGTGGCCTTGAGCAGAAAAGCCTGGACTGGATGTCCAACGCAAGTAGAGGACACACAGACCATCAAATCACATTAACAGGAGAGAAAAGAAAGTATATGGACATAGCTGCAGGCAGGTGGGTAGAGGTGGTGATAAAAATGCTCTCCTGATTGCTTCCATTTTGCTATTGAAGGAGGAAGTAAGATTATCTGCTGATGGAGAGAGGGAGGAGGAAGTAGTAGAAGTTTGAGAAGAGGAGAGAAGGAACTAACTAGTTGTATAGGAGAACAGAGAATAAGCAGACTGAGGAAATGTAGTATAATTTCTAGGAAGTGTTAAGGGCCCTCTTGAAATGAGAAAGAATACATTTTAAGTGAATTTAGTCATTAAGCTTGTGCATTTACTGTGCTCATCTGTGCGGGTGCAGGCCTTGGGCATCGGGTGGACAGATGCTTATCTGTGGAATTTAGACTGAATAAAGAGGGAAGAGGGGACATAAAGCAGTGATCAATGGCTGGAGAAGTCAGTCCTTTAAGAAAAATTGTAGTATGTCCTCATGGCTAAAATTATTGTCTTCCAGGCAAAGGAGTGTTGACGGTATTACCTATCTATTTATTCGAAAAGCACTTATCGAACACCTGCATGAGCTATGTCCAGAGAGGATATTCAGTTACATCCCTAGAAGCATTTAAAATATCAAGGAGATAAGTTGGATCCAAAGCAGGCGGGGCCTTAGGTTACTACTGAGAACAGACATTGATTTTATTTTATTGTCAATAAAATTGTCAAGTAGGTTGAAAGATGCTACCTGGTGGAAAAGTACATCTGTATCAGTCAAAATTACTTAAGTCAAAAAGATAATCTATTGATGAATGTAACTGAAAAATCTGCAGAATAATACTGGCTAACATTTAGTGAGGGTTTGTTAGCCAGAATCTGTTCCAAGTGCAATTCATTTATTATCCTGTTTAATCCTAGTGTTGAACCAGGAGTTGAACCCAGGCAGCAGTTGCTCCCCGTTGCTGTATTACAACCACTAGGCTTGACTATCTCTTGAAGAGACAGCTGCAGGCAAAGCTGGATCCAGGGATTCAAACATTATTAGAACTCAGTCTTTTCACTCTCCCCTTGCTTACTTTTTATTTTAACCTAGGTAACATTAGTTTACAACACTGCATATGTTTCAAGATTATATTTTCTTGCCATGCCCAGCACCAAATGTCCATTTACTGTCCACTACTAACCAATAGGCCCCTTGTATCCATCCCCTAGTCCCTCGAGTATCCACATTCTGTTGTTAGAATCTAAAGGTTTGTTTTTATTTTCTTTATATTATGCAAATGAGTGATATCTTATAGTATTTGTCTCCTTCTGACTTCTTTCATCTAGCACAATCCCCTCAAGGCCCAACCATGCTGTCACAAATGACAAGGTTTCATCTTCTTTTTATGGTTGAGTCGTGTTACATGTGTGTCTATACTACATCTTCTTCCTCCATTGCTCTGTTGTTGGGACTTGGGCTGTTTTCACATCTTGGCTATTGTAAATAGTGTTGCAATAGCCTAGCGGTGCATATATCTTTTCAAGCGAGTGTCTTCATTATCTTCAGGCAAATACCCAGTTCACCTTGCTTACTTCTGTGTTGAATCAAGTCCCAGGATGTTAGTAAACATCATTCATAATAATGTTAAGTTAAAAAAAGAAACCCCACACATAAAAACAGTAGATGTGGAAGGACCCATAAACAAGCAAACAATGTATTTATAGTTGCAAGGATGTAAATAAAATGTTGATAAGAGTTATTTCTGAGTGTTATGATTTGGGGGTATTATTTTCTTTTTATTTATTTATTTTTAAAGATTTATTTATTTATGCATACAAGAGCTGGGGTGTAGGCCAGAGGTTAAGGGGGTGAGAGGATTCACCAGAGACAGAGTGGGGAGCAGAACAGGTGGATCTACTGAAATACGCTGCTGAGGGGAGCAACAGGCAAGGCAGGAGAGGTCTGCTGCACCATGTGGGTCAGCTCCCCAGCTGGCTGGGGAATCAAACTCATGCTGCAGTGACTGGCGATAGCTTCATAGCGCTGTCCTTAACCCTGAGCCACCAGGGAGGCCCTATTTTCTTTTTTTAGTATTTTCATTTGTTTGTACACTGGGGATATAGTTACTGTATGATAAAAACATTGAAGGGAAATAAAAAACTAAGAACAAATATCTCTAAATGTTTCACCAGAGTTAAGTATTCATTCAATCGTGTGGCACTAAGACCTGTGTCCCAGGATATTGATGCTTTGGGGGTGACCACAGCAGTAGCAACATTCTTTTCAGCTTCCACTTGGTTAGGGGGGAGGAGATGAGAGGGATTGTTGCCGGATCAGCTGTACCATATTATTGTACAAGTGAAGAAGCTTAGTGTCTTTCTTGACATTGCAAATAATCTAGTTTGGATACATTTTGAAATGAAATATTAGTTCTTCCTTGGAAGACCTGGTCGGGTAATACTTAGTAGTCAACTAAGAAGGAGAAAAAACCAAGGAATTACATCAGGAGTATATAGACCAAATTCCAAATACCAGGCTGAGCTGACACTGTTTAGTCCCTGCCCCCAAGGAGTTTACAGTCTCATCAGGAAGACACGACAGCAATATAGGATAAGATATTTAGGTTAAATCATGCAGGCGGGGAGGTGGGGGTGCTGAATTGTACCCCCAGGGAAGATCGGGGTAAAGCTGATGGTCAGTTTCACCCATTCTTTCTCTTATGCACTAGTTTCCTCTTTCTGCCTGCAGCATCTGTGAGAATATGGAAAATTCAACCTAGGTGAATTCCCTTATCTACACAATAAGGATAGTAAATAATCTCTATCTTATCTGCTTATTGAGAGGATTAATTTAGGTAATGCATTTAAGTGCTTAGCCCAGTGTCTGATGCTGAATAAATGCTCAATAAATTATGCCTGTGATGATGATGATTGTTAATAACAGAAGTGAACTAGCACAGAGAATGACAAAAGCTTTACAAAGCATTAAAACCAATCATGGTTTCCTGCTCTTCCAGATTTGTGGTTACTGGTCTTCTAGATTTGATGCCCTTGATAGGCCGTATCTGGAGATTTCTTGAGCTGTTGCTCCAAGATGTCCAGAGAATGAAGATGTATAAAATCTTCTCTCATCCTCACACCCAACCTCTTTCCTAAGCGTAGACTATTCATTCACATTCTCTACGTTCGGATGTGATCTTTGCACTTGACACAACTCGCAGACCACGTGACTCCATTTCAAGCTCCTTTGCTTTATGAGAATCACCCTCATTGGGACATTTCCTCATATTGTACAAAACTTGACTCTAGGGAAGAAAATGAAAACTTACATGGAAATAAAATTGAAGAATAAGTCTCAATTAGGTTCAAAGACTTCAGGGAAAGAAAATTCCTTGTTTTATATTTTCAAATTCAAGGTATGAAATGCTGCCTATGATAGTGGGAAGAAAGACTGAAGATAATGCGGGTGCAAAAGAGAAAATAAAGAGTCAGAAAGAAAAGGAAGAGAAAGAAGTGGATTCTGTGGTTGCTCTTCTGTTTACAAGCCCAGTTCTTCTGTCATCTCATTAATTCTGGAAGCTATCTCTCAGTTCTTTTTCTGTGTGAGCTATTCCAAATTCCTCTTTCTACTTACATTAGCCAAAGTCGGTTTCTGTTGCTTGCAATTCAGTAACCCTTACTGATTCATAAATAAAGAAAAAAAAAGCAGTTAAGAGTGGGAAGAAAAAAAATAAGACAGAGAGGAGCAGAGAAGGTGGAGAAAGTAGCTGGAGCCCATGACTGTGTCAGATTTTGAAGGGCTCCTATTCTAGGGTGTGTATAATCTTCAAAATAAGCTCTCCACCTCCACAAAAAATCTTTGTAAAGCTTTTGTCATTCTCTATGTTAGTTTACTTCTGTTATTAGCTATCACCATCACCATCATCATCATCATCATCATCATCACAGACATAATTTATTGAGCATTTATTCAGCACCAGGCACTGGGCTAAGCACTTAGATGCATTACCTAAATGAATCCTCTCAATAAGCAGATAATATAGAGATTATTTACTATCCCTGTTGTGTAGGGATAGTATGTCCACCCGCACATAATTACAATGGTCTGTGTCCCCTGTAATTTAGGTGGCAATTAGTTTTTTAGGGGGGGAGGTGTTCATTGGGACTCTTTCAATTGTGAGTATCAGAAAAATAACTCCAGACCTTCCTCAACTTCCAGTGGGGTTCCATCCTGATAAAGCCATCATAAGTTGAAAATTCATTTAGTACAGCTAACCTACTGAGCAGCACAGCTTAACCTAGCCTACAGTACACATGCAGCAGAAGACACAGGTGGGCGTTTTTCCAACATGATGGAAGGGAAAGATACACAACATTGTTCCAAAATAGACTGGTCACACAGTATCCTGTTAAGACCTTGGGATTGATTGCATGGCTGGAAGCTTCTCCCCAGCATCCAGAGATTACTGCTCCTCAATATAACTAGCTCAGGAAAATATCAAATCCCAAATTCCAAGGACAAGCTGTAAGTCAAACCACCGAAGTTGGGGATCATCTGTAATCAGTTAGTGCAAAAAAGCCCAGTGACTATGCTTCTGACATGGCTGGAAGGGAAACAGCAGGGATTGGATTCTCTGTCTTTCTTATGTGTTTTGTGTTTTTGTGTTTGCTTCGTTCTCCTGAGTCCCCCTCTTGATGGCAGAACTGACCATTGGAAGTGTTAGGCATGATTTGTACTAGGTTACCATCTCAGAAGAAAAAGTCTCTTTCTTCCAACAGTTTCAACAAGAGTTCTGTGGTTAATGGTCTCTGGAAAGATTTGAGCTGATTTCCATTTTGAAGGATGATTAGAAAATTATGATCATCTGGTCCAGTCATATGCCCACTGGCACATAAACCATGCAAGAAAAGAAGGGAAAACTCTTTCTCCAAGGTTGGTGGAGATTACTAGTTGTCCCCCATAACTTTTCTTCAACTTTCTAGTAATAAAAACATTCCAATATTTGCCAGGCATAAGGCCAACCAGCATTGAGACTACATTGCAAGGGAGATCTTGAACTAGAAACTCACATTCCTATATTCATTGCCCTGACCAACTTAATGTAAGTGAAAGCAATGCAGACGGTGTCCAGGAAATTATCTTAAAGGGATATGACATGTCTAAGCATGTTCTTTCCTCCTCACTGAGGGTCAGAATGTGGACAGGCAGGAAGGCTGGAGATGAGGAAGTCATCTTGGGCCACGTGGTGACTTTGAAATGTAGGAAATAAATGGTAAATAAATAAATGCCGAGTCTCTAATGTTATGGTGCCTTACCAGCCAAGAACCACCTTCATCTGCTTTCATGATAGAAGAATAAACATTTATCTCATCCAAGTGGGTGTTATTTGACAAACCACATAATCCAACATAATATTACCTGATCCCCTTAAAGTAGAATCATGGTCCTACTCTAAAGAAATGGGGGGGACCTATTCTAAAGAAATGAGGGTGGGAAGTGCCTACTGCCTCACTCCCTGAAATATTCTACCCATCACAGTTATTACTCAGGTTAGAAACTTGAAGCAAATCTTCCTGGCCCTCATATATCTGAATACTCAGGAACTTCAGCAATGAAATTATGAATTCAGAGATAAAAATAATTTTAAAATTGCGCCAAGCAGAGACTTAAAAGAACTAACTCTATCCATGCTTTTTTTCCCTTAGAAAAAGTGCCTGTCAGAGTGGATTAATCCACATTTAACCTTGTAATTTTAACAATGAAGTACAGAAACAGCAGGCTCATAATGTGAAAAACTGTTCAAAATACATATTAGAACTCCTTTCAACACATTTGTTTTGACATTTTTATTAACAATTTGAGTGAGGAGTTAATGAAATTGTAATCAAACAGAGAGATGACAAAATGCCAATAGAGGCTCATGCCTTGAATAATGGATCATCAAATTGCATACCAGAAAACCAAGAGGGGTTTTGAAGGTCATCATAGCTCCCCATTTTAGAGCAGAGAAAACTGAGTTTCAGAGAGATCAACCCATTTTCTTTCATAAGATCACACCTGGAATCCAGGGCTACTGGGGCTCAACCTTTCTACTTCCTTCTTTGTGAATAAATGAAAACTACACTATGGTTGAAGATTCAAGAACAATGGTTCATTTTAAAAACTTGCAGCAGTAAGCTGATGGGACAAGATAAAATCTAATCAGGTCAAATGTACAAGGATCTACATGTTGGGTCCCACAAAGCCCACTGTACAAGCACAGTGTGGGGTAGATGTGTCTTAATCAGCAGCCCTTGTAAGAAACACTCAGAGAGGCTACTTTGCTGCAAGCTTGAGATGTCAGCAGTGTGCTGTAGCTATAAGGAAAAGAGAACGGAGTCACAGGTGGCGTTGCTAGAAACAGAGTTTACCGAAGGGAGGTGAGAGTCCTGTTGAATTTTCACTTTACACTTGGAATTCCTCATTGAGTTCCAGGTGTCAGATTTTAGAAATGGGACAGACAAATTAGGTCACAGTCAGGATGGAATTACGTGAGGCATGGCCAAACAAGGTTAGGCAACTGCAAAGCACTGTAATTAAGAGCTCGAATCCTGGCGTTAGGTTGCTTGTTTTAATCCCAGTGCTGTCAATTACTAAGTATGTGTTCATTAAGCCTTCATCTCACTGTCCATAAATTAGGAATTATAATAGCACCTGTCTCCAAAGATACACAGGATAGTGCATGTCAAATGATTAGCACATTACTGGCACAAAACAAACACTCAATAAATGTTAGCCACTGTTAAGGATTCGAAGTGACTGGGGATTTGGTAACAATCTCATTGGTTGTGGTGAATATTAAAGGAGTTAGCACATTCCTACCGCTTAAAACAAAAACAGCAATTATTATTGCAGTAGAGGGCTCGACCTAAGGTTTTAGGGATGAACCTGATTTGGGAACAAAATATTCCCTGGCTTAGGCTAAAGCCCATGGAATCAGACCAGGTTAATTCCTTGAGGAAGGATCCTGAAGAAGGATGCTCACTTGTGAGTGTTTTTGTTTGTTTTGCTTTGTTTTGGGAGGGAGGGACAGCGTGAGAGCAGTCACTCAGACTTTCTCCAGGGTGTTAATTGATGAACACCCGGGAAAGGTGACATGGCATGGTTGCATAGTGGCAACTTGGCTGTGTTCTTGGCTGAGGTCATTTAGACCTGTTGCAATGCACCATTCTGGTCCACCCGTGCGGCCACTCAGAGCGGTACTCGAGCCTGCTCTGAGCGTGGCTCCTGAGAATTGTCCCGTGACTATGGTGCAGGGCGCACTCGAAGTGGAATTGCTCCTGGATAAGTCCACCTCGCACGCCACAGCATCCTGGCCCGCAAAGACGCCGTGGGACCCTGGACAGCGCCCCGGGGGCCAGTCCGCCACTAGAGGGCGGCCGCTAAGAGAGGGACCCGCGGGCGCGGGAGGGTGCCGGCGCCTCTGAGGCGCGCTCTCCCTCCAGGCGCCGTGGGCGGCGGAGTGTCAGTGGGGTGGGGGTGTGTGCTTCATGGGTGTGAGACAGAGCAAATCGCCTGGGTGTGAGTCAGCGCGCGGGGGGCTAAAGAGCTCCATGAATAGTCACGGAATTTCACGCTCAGCTCCTCCACCCATCCCGGCTCGAGTGTGCGTCCCGGTGCCGCTGGTGTGTGCGCTCCCAGCACGCACGGTGTCCGATTTAAGGTTGTGTGTGTGTGTTTAGTGCGACGGGGGTGGGAGAGCGAGGGCAGGGTCTCTGTGGGTGTTCCCAAGCCCCTGCTGGAGATTTCTCCCTCCCCCACCCCATGAGGGGTGTAGGGGTGTGTCCGGTCAGGGTACGCGTGTACCAGTGCAAGCGCGCGCGTGTGTGAGTGTGGCGGGGCCGTGTATCAGCGTAGCGTGCCTGCTCCCCGGTCTGTGGGTCTGGATGCTGGCGCAATCTGGACCCGGGTCCCCACCCCTGGGTGTCGAGAGCCCAGCGTGGTGGGGGCGCCTCGCTCCCTGGCGGAGTGAATGCCTCAGCATCCTCTCTCCATCGCCTCAAGCTGGTCAGGGCGCTTTAGGGAGCGGCCTGCGTGGGGAGGGCCTGGGGCTGTGTGTCCAGGGGGGAGTTAGAGTGGGGGTGCAGGGGGCGGGCCAGGTCCCCGGGTGGGGCGCGGGCTCGGGGGACCCGCGCGGCTGACGTCAGGCGACTCCTTAAATAGAGCCGGCAGCGCGCTCCGCTCGGCATTTCTCCAGGAGCCGAAACCCGGCCCGCGCCAGCGCCACCGTCCGACCCGCCCGCCAGCCGGCACCGCCGCGCTGCCGCCGCGCGTTCGGTGCGCCGCGCTCCGACCATCGGGAATGGGGCTGCGGGCGCGGGGTGCGCTCCGAGCCCGGCGCACGGAAGAGCCCAGCAGCGCCCGGAGGCGCCCGGCTGCCCGGAGCCCCACCGCCTAGGAGCAGGAGATGCTGGACGCTCAGCCGCCTGTTCCCCCAGGAGCCGCCGCGCCCGGGATCCCCGGGCATGGTGCGCGCCCCGGCCCGCAGCGCCTGGAGAGGACGGCGCCCCCTCTGCGCTACCCAAGTGGCCCCGGCTGCGCCGCGCGAGCTCTCTAGGCGGCCCAGGGCCACAGCAGCTCCGCCGCTGGCGCCCCCTCGGAAACCATGACCCCCGGTGCGGGCCCATGGAGCCATGGCCTATAGGGTCCTGGGCCGCGCGGGGCCACCTCAGCCGCGGAGGGCGCGCAGGCTGCTCTTCGCCTTCACGCTCTCGCTCTCCTGCACTTACCTGTGTTACAGCCTCCTGTGCTGTTGCGACGACCTCGGCCAGAGCCGCCTCCTCGGCGCGCCCGGCTGCCTCCGAGGCTCCGACGCGGGCGGCCAGAAACTTCTCCAGAAGTCCCGCCCCTGTGATCCCCCGGGGCCGACGCCCAGCGAGCCCAGCGCGCCCAGCGCGCCCGCGGGCGCCGCGCCCGCCCCTCGCCTCCCGGCGGCCAACCACTCCGGCTCGCCCAAGCTGGGCACCAAGCGGCTGCCCCAAGCCCTCATTGTGGGCGTGAAGAAGGGGGGCACCCGGGCCGTGCTGGAGTTTATCCGTGTGCACCCGGACGTGCGGGCCTTGGGCACCGAGCCCCACTTCTTCGACAGGAACTACGGCCGCGGGCTGGACTGGTACAGGTAAGAGGGGGAGTCTCTCTCCCCGCGCCTGGTCTCCTGCCGGCTCCGTCCTTAGAGCCTTTCTCGCGTTTTCTCTTGCCCTTGTGTGGGTTCAGGCCGGCACGTGGGGGGACTCTGGCCGAAGAATCTACCCCGAACTTCCCAGTGATTATGTAGACGGGCACGCGGGCTCCTCAAGCGCAAAGGGCAGTTGTCTCTGGAGACGCTGGCGTGGAAGGGAGATCTGTAGCCAAATTTCTGGCGAGCCACCCCCCACCCCCTCAGGGCTGGCTGCGTGCCTCGCTTTTGGGGTAGAGCTGATTACCCAGGGCCAGGGGAGATGGGGGCACATGCTACCTGAACACTGCCCTAGTAGCCTCCCTCCCCAAGCCCTCAGCAGCCCTCCCCCGAACCCCTCCCCCCCTCCCCCCGCAGGTCTTCCTGGCTTTTGAAAGACCCTGAGAGAGGAAAGTCGGAATGGGGTCCCCTTGAGGCAGGTCTCTGTGCTTGGAGGCCCCAGAGCCCAGGTCTAGTTAAGAAAGCTGGCCCTGAGGTGTCTGGGTGAGAAAGGTCCCTTCTGAGTCCCAGTCCAGGCTCCAGCTAATCGCTGCTGTATCAGGCCTGAGACCCCCTGGCTCTGGCCTGGAGTTAGTGGTCTTAGACTAGGGGAAATACACCCTGTGTTTGAGTCTAGGCTGGGCACGGTAGTGCTAACACATTCTTCAAACTCTCTGAGCTTCAACAGTCTCTGCTCTGTGCAATCTCCAAGGCCTTTCTAAAGTGCTTTCAAAGTGTCCAAAAGACACGGCTTGGGGACACTGCAAGGGGCGACGTGGCAAAGCCAGCAGCCAGCATGTGGAATCTGGGGTCCTGGTAGGCACCTCACCTCCAGTGAAGAGTGGTCAGGATCCCAGGGCCAGGAGCTGCCACACATGTAGACTCTACCACCCAGTGCGCAGGTGGGGGTGGGCATCTCCCAGGCTGGAGCTGTCTCTGGATGGCCTGAAGCTTCTGGAAGGTGGCAGCTTCCTCTGTCAATGGCCATCACCTCCCAGCCCTGTGTGGCGCTGACATGTAGCTCTGGCTCACATGTGGGGTGGTGTCATGTATGGGGTCTCCACAACACATAGTTCACAGAATTCTCACCATTGTCCAGACCCCTAGAAGACTTTCTAGAAATGTCTGCATAGTAATGGAACTGGGGAGGGGAACATGGTAACTGACGCCATAGTTGAGGCTAATTAAAAAAAATGTTTTAATAGAAGTTAACTCTTTAGGAAGGAGAAAGTCATAAGCATATTGGACAAAGGACAACTTTATTAGAGGATCCCACAGGGGTCTCTGGATTTATAAGAAGGGGGGCAACAGGGCTGACCTGTCACCATGGCCTGGGCCCTGGTGGTGGGGGCTAGGGGCGGGCATGCCTGGCCCCCTGGAGACAGATATTCAGTCCATTTCTAGTGGCGGCCAGCTGGGGTTAGCTGGCTGGTGGGTGGCCCAGCACCATCACGCCAGCTTAATGGAATAGGCGGCACAGAGTGGCAGAGCTGATGCTTTCCAAGCTGTGACCACAGACATCCCATCTGGGTGCAGGAGCACGGCGGCAGCCAGACCCCAGCTTGAGAAAGGCAAGTGCCTCCAATAGCAGAGCCTTGGCGGGGCCCCCTGGCCCCCACTCTAATGCACCACAGGTTTCCTCGATGGAAAATCTGAAGATCATTATGAATTCCTTGGCCAACGTGAAGTACCTTTTAAGTGCAAAATGGCAAAATTTGGAGCATCTGGCTCTCAGATATTGTAACCTCCACTAAACATGCAGACCCTGACCCCAGACCCTGCGCACCCCTTTGCTCGCTCCACTGCCAGCCGGCCTACCCCAGGCCTCCTTCCCAGAGCCCGTGTCATTCAGGGATGGCTGCTTTTTATTTTTAACCTTGGCATGTGTGATTCTAAGCCAGCTTAGCTGTGAACCTTAGAGATGGGAGCCGTGCCTTTTTTTTTTTTTTTTTTTTATAGCACATTTGGATTCTGCTAAAATTCTCAGCTGAGTCTTGGTAGGTTTTATTTAACATCAAGTACACTGACAGCTCTGCTTCTTTCTCTACTCCCCCCACCCTTTTCCAGGGTTTGCGTTCCCTTCCCGTTCCCCCTTCCTATTTCTAAAATATATTAGCTCAAGGTCTGGCACTAATGGCCTGTCCCCATCCCTTCCCCAAGAAGTCTGGGGAGCCCCGGCTCAAGGAAGGGCAGTTTGTACTTCTTTCAGTTGCAAATCCACATCCCCAGAGTCCAGGGCTTGCAGTGTGGACTACCATTTCAGCATGAGGTAATCCTGCCCCATTTGGATGCAGTGTCCATAATTTCCAGAACATTTCTCTGTATGTGTTTCATCCTTCATCACTGCTCAAGGAGTAGGCATTAATTGCAGAAATGATGAGGATTTCTGGGATCCTCTGCCACCCGGGTTCTCACTTCATTTCTGAATCGCAAGGACCCGGAGAGCAGGTGACCTGCCCCACGGCCTGCGGGGTGAACACTACACCTCCCCAAAAGTGAGAGCATCTGGAATGGGACCACAAAGCACGCTGATGAAATTCGGGAGCAGCATCCACTGCATGCACTATCCCACAAAGACGTGCCCAGGGGTGTGCGTGCGAGTGTGCATGTACACACATGCGCATTTCCAGCTAAGTGCTCTAACCACTGTGCCACACAGCTGTCCACTGCGAAGTGAGCGTCCACTGAGTAGCCCCTCTGTCCACTGTGGGAGATTGTGTTTTCCAAGGATGGCGTGCAGAGAGGCAGGCAGGGCATCTCATTACGATCTGCCCATGGCAGAGCCCCCAGGCATAGCTCCCTGGGCCCAGAGGCCCTAATCCAGATAGACAATGGAGAAGGCAGGAGCTTCACCTGCAACCAGAGGAGAGACATCCTTCTGTGGGTAAAGGGAGAGAAAGCAGGAGGCAACGTGCTAGAGCCAGAAAGACATGACTGGTCAGGGTCCAGGAAGCAGAGTTTGAAGTTCCCGCACCCCAGCCGGAACACCCTCTTGGGAACCAGCCTGTTTTCAGCCCCCTGAGAAGAGCCCAGCCCTCTGCAGCGGGGTCCTCCCCTTGATATTTTTCAGAGGTGCTGTCACTGGGCTTACTTCACCTGTGCATCTGGCCTGCTTCCCCCACCTGCTCGCCTCCCCAAGCTGGGCCCGCAGGGCGGGCAGGAGGGCAGGGAGGGACCCGGGACCGAGCTGGTCACCTCCATGCGGTACCTGGGTGTGCCCTGCCTGAGAGAATGTTCCGGCAGTAACACCAGGAAGGCCATTTTGAAGAACCAATGAAACACTTTCTATGAAGGTGCCCTGGAAATTTCTGTGGTGTATCGATAAAAAGGTCAGGCAGTAATGTCACAACATTGCCACGGTCACTTCTGGGTACTGTTAGGATGAACTACTGGTTTCTGTCCCTGCTGCTGTTACCAGATGGGGCTGAGGAGTCTGTTCATTGCTGGTTCCATGATAAACTAGGAGACGGCCTGGCCTTAGCTTCTGCTTTCAACTCTTCTAGAATTTTCTTTTCCTTCCCTTCCCCCTTCCTGGCTATGGTGTTGACAAGACATCAATTCACATTTCTGGGTGTCAGTTTTCTCACCTTTAAAATGGGAATGACGTCTGATCTGCTTTACAATCTTGTGAAAATTCCGTAAGGCAGTGTGTGTGTGAAAATGCTTCTCCCAATCTAAGATTATATTTGAGGGGGCGATCCCTTACCAAGAGTCAGGTGTGAGACAGAATATTCAGGGGCTCTGTCTTTTATAAAGAGATAGAAGCTGTGCATCGTCCAGTAATTTTTAGAGTCTCAGGGGAAGCTGAGTCTTGGGTAAAGTGTCCTCAATTGCGTTATTTCAGGGGTGGCAAAGTTGTGGTGGGGGGAGTATGAAGAGGAAGTGAATCTTCTCTAAATGTAGTGAAATGCCAATAAGAGCAAGTTAATACGTGATAATTGACTCTGTGCTCTGGTGCAAAATTTTGATCAATGAGCCTGTTCTGTACATTGTAGACTTCAGAACTCTGGTTATTTATCTGTTCAGCCTCAGTGGTGTTCTGGGGATGGTGCAAGGCATAGAAGACACAGCATTCACCCTGGAGGCAATAGTCTAAGTATGAAAAAGAACAAAAAGCACAGAAGAAGGTCTGTCCAGCTCATTTCAATCAAGAAATCAAATTCAAATAGCAACGGAGAACTCTAGAAAGGCAAGCTTTAGGAAGAAAGAAAAACAGAGGCAGGAGGCAGGAGGCAGGAGGCAGGGCACTTCTGTATGAAGGAGTTGACGCAAGAAGACTTTCCCCTTTATGAAGCTGGTCACTGAAAGGTTCGGCGCGGTAAAGGAGAGGAGAGCCAGGCTACATTTCTCAAAGGGAGGGAAAGTTTATTGCGCCCCGGGCGGACCTCACAGACCCAAGGCGGGGGTCAGTGGAGTCACGCACGTTGTTAGGGGGAAGCAGGGTTTTATAGGGTGAGGAGAGGTCAGATGGGTAGTTGGGCTCGTAGGGCGGGAAAAGTTTGTAGGGCAGGTAGAGGTTCTTTGTCTGAGAAGAGACTCCTAGGGGGAGGGGGGAGGCTCATTGTCTGAGTCCTTCAGGCAGGTATTCACATTCCTGCCCCCCAGGTGGGCTTCCGGGTAGGCTTTT